GTTGGCCTGGGGGGTTTCAGCCCTGGCTAGAGGGTGGGGCAGGTGAACTGGAGCCCCGCTGAGGTGGGGGAGGGAGAGGCTCCAATTCACCCACCCGACCCTGCAGTGTTGGCTGGGGAAGCCCTAGAACAAGCTCCACCTACTCCTTTCCCCCCTCCCATTCTGAAACCGGGACAGGCTGGGAAAGAAAAGGGGCTGTTGCTAGAAGAAACTGACTGCAGGCTCCCAGCCAGCAACTAGATTCTCCTCCCCCCTGGAACCAACACTGAATTTAAATAAGTTTTGCTGCAGTTTAAATAGGGTTACCATATTTCCAGGTCCAAAAAAAGAGGACGCATGTCATGCGAGGGGGCAGGGAGGGGAGGCAGTGACATGCCAGTGCGCTGCCCCTCACTGCCAAGCCACAACCCCTCCCCCCCCCAAGCTCTGCAGCTGCCCCTCACTCCCAACCCACTGACCCCCAGCTCTGCCAGTGTCCCTGACTCCCAAACTGCAGTACCCTGCCACCCTGGGCCATGATGGTGCCCCTCATTCCTGATCTGCAACCCCCTCCCCCCCCCCCATCCCTGCTGGAGCCCCTTACTCCAGACCCACAGCCCGCTGGTGCTGCCAGTGCCCCATGCTCCCAATTCACATCCCCCCCCAGTGTTCCTCACTCCCAAGACAGGCCCCCAGCCCTGCCAGTGCCCTTCACTTCTGACCTGCAGCCCTCTGGCCCCCCAGCCCTGCCAGAGGGGCCCCAGCTGTCCCTGTCCTCACCAGGCCAAGGTGCAATGGCTCCGATTCATGCAGGCAGTGACAGAGTGCATCTGGCCTCAGCGCAGGCTAGAAGGAAAAGGAGGGGAGGTTTATGGCACCCTCTGCCCTGGGATGGGGCTGCCACACCATGCCAGACAGCCTGGCCATGGCCCTGCTCCTCCCCCAGCAGCATCTCCTGGCCACTCAGCCCCTGCAAGCATAGGCACCAGCCCCTGCGCTACCGGCCAGCCACAGAGTTCCCTGCTGCCCTCAAAGAGCACCCCCCCACTTTCCCCCACTGGAGGGGAAGGCAACCCGCTACCACCCCTGCCCCGTCACAGCCCTAGGCCCTGCCAAACGTGCAGGATTTTGCTTTGATCCACTGGTGGGAGAAGGGGGAGGGCAATGGGAGGCAGTAGGGAGCACCATATAGGTCTGTACACACCTCCACAGTTGCAGGCAGGTACATCTCTGATCGCCCTCCCCCTGCTCCTACAAGTGGAATAAAGCAAAATCCCAGACACTTGATCAGATTTAAAAAAACCCCACCAGGATAGCGTTCAGAGGGCTCAAAAAGAGGACATGTCTGGGAACATATAGTAACCCTAGTTTAAACCTACTGCCTTGTGTCCTGCCCTGTGTGGCAAGAGAACAATTCCCCACCCCCCCACCTTTTTATGGCAGCCTTTCAAATATTTGAAAACTGCTATCATGTCCCCCCTTAATCTCCTTTTTGCTAGACTAAACACATCTAGTTCTCTCAACCTCTCCCTCTTCGTCTTGCATTCCACCCCCTTTATTATCTTTGTCATGTGCCTTTGGATCATCTCCAGTATCTCTGCATCCTTGAAAAAACCTAGGAGTGTTTCACATAAAAAGTTTCTCTTTCTGTCTTTTTAAACCACGTCATGTTTAAGGCAGATTCATGATTTGGGAGGCCCGATTCATTTTGAATGAGTGAGGTTGGAAGGACTGTCAGAGTCACAAGAGCAGTTTTAAAATTAAAATGGCAGAAAAGGTTATGCCACAAAGGAGAGGAAGTTTGAAGTGGAACCTTGAAACACCACCTGCAATATTTACATTTTGTATTTTAAATTTTTACTAGCAGCTGCTGTTTAATAAATCTTTGATTTATAAAAACAGTGGGTAAACATTCTCCAACAAGATTTCTAGTAACAATACAACAGCCTGCCTTCAAGCCACGACACTCTGGTAATAGTATGGCAACCAACCACCTGTGACGGAGATCACTATGGCTACTGATTTATGCAAACAACTTGTTTTACATTAGCTTGTCCTCTCCTGACTCCCACCACTCTTTGTTTATTCCTGAGGATTGCCAGCCCCAAGCATTCAAGAATCATGAGTCAAGTGCCAGAAAATGCGATTAAAACACCCTCATGATTTTTAAGCCAGAGAGTTACTTTTCTTTTTATTAGTCTTCTGATTTCTGAGCCTTCAGGATGCACCTGGCTCACACTTTCAAGATCTCTGTGCTACCAAAAGAGAGCTTGCATTTTTTTTTAAATGAAAGTTGAGATTCTCGTTCAATTCCTTGACTCCAGTACTTGAAACCCCAAGGGAAAACATAAAACCAAATATGAGATTTACAACAACACTTGCAGGGCTTGGCAACACTGCTGTTGTGCATGACCTACAACTAGATTGTAAGCCAACGAAGGGACCATCTGGGCTGCATTTTTGTGCTGTACAAAGACAGTGTATGTAGAAATAATTAGCATGAGAAATTAGAAAAAATCTGCATTAGAAATAATTACAGAGTATATTTTGAAATTGCAGTTTTAGTTATACATGAGATAAGACCACCGCTGTTATTAATGAGCAGTGAGCATGGGTGTTGGAAATACCAGAAATGTATTACTATCTGACCCTGTAAACAAGAGACTTCTTAACCAAACATTGTAAAAACAAGAGAGCAGGCCAAGAAGGTGACCAGTATCCAGCCAAAAATCACTATTCAAGTGGGAAAATTGTTGCAGAAAATGAAGGTAGCGTTCTCAATTTGTCCTTGACTCCTATCAGACAAAATCCCTTGAAGTCAACCCTAACAACACACTGCTTTGCTGCTTAGGGGTTTGCTATTGTTGTTTTATTTGACATCTGCGCACGCGTGTGCGCACACACACACACTTTCTAACCGTTGCCCTCAGACATTCTGCATGCACCACTCCCACAACCAGTTTGACAAGGCAGCAGTCACCAAGTCACACTTCTCTGGTTACTCCAGCCTGTTAGCTCTTATCAGTCAGTAACTGTTACTAGTTACTGCTCTCTCAGTTCTCTATACAAAGCAACTGATCTGTAAAGAACATAAAAATTAAAAATTACCCACTGGTGCTTACGGTGAGTTGGCACTCTCTGTACACCAAGTGTTACAGTAGAACTCACTCTTCCCTTCTCCGAGGTAGAAAAGGGAAGATTTAGAGCAGCTTGCTGCATTTGGAAAAGCTGCCTGGAGGCACAAGTTCCTCTAACTTTACTACAGTTAGGTGCCATTTTGTAGTACAAATGGGGACCTTAACCATGCTTTAAAAGTGAGTTGAAGTTGCACAATATTTTGGTGCAATTATGAAAGTGAACTGCTGTCTAACCTGTACTACAAAATGGAGTTGTAGTGTCAGTTAGGACAGTAGTTCTCAACCATTTTTGTACCTGGACCCATTTGTAAAAATTGATGGCCAGTCCCCGCCCAGAGCCTCTCTCCTGACCTGCTGCCCTGCCACCCCTAGGCCCCAGCCCCCCAATATATATGGCAGGGGGGAAGTGTATGTGGGCTGGGGGTGGGCCCAACAGCCTCTTGCAAGCTGGAACTGCCAGCCTACAAGGGAAAACTCACGGTTTCCCATGTTTTTATCCTTTAAAGGAGAATCCATTTTTAAAGTTTGTTCATGACCCTTTTCATATATTCTTGCAACCCACTTTTGGGTTATGACCCACGGGTTGAGAAACACCAAGTTAGGAGACTGGTCTGAACATTGATTCTGATTAGGTTGTCTGAGGTATTTAACATGTTGTGTGGGACCAGGGAGTAGGAAAGGGGATGGAAACAGAGGTCAGCTGGGAGGAATAAAGCACATTTTGTTATACTACATCTGTTTCTCTGCCAAGGGTTGCAGGAATAATAGCTGAAAACCTACCATAACTTAGCACCTCAATGCACATACGCAGTGAACTAGTGCTGGGCTGTGCAAACAACTATAAAAATACCTACACTTAGATCTTATGTTTCCAGATGACCTCCCTGTTCCTACTCCACAGCCTCACATCCTCTTTACACAGACGCACTTTTTTTAGTCTACTTTTTAGCTATGTTACTGACCTCTCAGTGCAGAGATTGACCCCTGTCACATTCTTTGTCCTTCCTCACGCACTTTTGTAGACATCTGTTCTCAGCACAAAATGTTTGCAGGGCAGCCTATGCCCCGTTGACACTGCAATCCTTTCGATCTATCACAGTTAAAATGTGGAGTCTGTGCTGCATACTAGTTATCCTGCATAATTTTCTTTTTAGACTAAAGCATAAACTTCCTACTTGTGTGAAGCTCAAGTAGGTTGGAAATTAGAAAACAAACAAGCAAAGATACAATTCAAGGTAAATAACAGATCCAGAAATCAGCAAGAACTGGCCATAAATCTTAATGGTCATGAACCTTTCAGGCTGCTATAAATAATTAAACTAAATTGAGGTTCTATTTTTATATTTTACAAAACACTCATATACATGTCACATTGGGCATTAGAATATACACTCAAAAACTACTTGGAAAAAAGGTGTAACATGATTCGAATAACCTCCCATATAGTATTGATTAGCTATAAATATTTAAAGACATAATACGTTGCCATGTTGATTTTTTTAAGGCTGAAAATGCTATGAAGAAAGAATACAGAGTCTGACTATACAGAAAACCCCCCAGCTTAGCTCTGGATAAGACCTGAGACCAGTGGCAGAGAAATGGTGTTTAATATATTAGAACAAACACACGAGGCATACTTAAGTGGTTTAAAATTTTGACCGAGTAAACAAGGACTTCCTGCAAAAGCATTAGCAGGTTCTTTTGTTGGTTTCGGATTTGAGAGTCCATTTACCAATTTTAAAGGCTAAAAACAAATGGATTGCTTTGAATTGGGTATGTTGTGGGTGGGCTGTCCACAAGTTTCCTGATGCAGATCTGCCTTCTCCTTATTTATTTGTGCCACAGCTGGGCATCTTTACAAAGCACTTTACAGACACTGTGTAATCCTCAAACAAGTTCTATGATGATTGCGGGTGAACATAAGTATATTAGCTTCAACTTCACTGTATTTGTGAGCCATCTTTAATCATGCCTTCCCTTGAAATGTGGGCAAAGTATCTCTGATCACAGTAGTGTAATTAAGGCAAGGTGACTGGGACAGAACCCTGGGCATCAACTTGGGAGGCATTGAGGGAAAATGGAAAAAAAAAATAACATCTTCTGCCATAGCACGTGTCCATAATGGTGGCACTGGCAGCCACTGCTACCCTGGACACCCTGCTGCTGTTATGTCTCTGTCACCTCATATGTAATCTACTTAACTCAGGTAACCAGAGCAGTGAAGACATGATAGTACAGGGTTCTGTGAAGGTTGACTCAAGGACCTTGAGCATGTACTGTGACCACCAATGCTCATGCTACCATATCTTCATTGCGGTTATTAAGAAACCCCAATGCTGAAATAGCATGAGATTTTAAGTACATTTAGGCTGCAAGTGCAGAGTCTAGTTTTGGGCAGCACACCTCATCAACAAACGTCTGTCTATTGGACAGCAACAAAAAAGATTAGAGGCCTACAAAACATGGCTTCTGAGGAAAGGTTGGAAGAGCTGGGATGATTTATTCTCGAGAAGAAAAGACAGAAGATTCCTTAATAGTTATAAAAAAGGATGGTGATAGACTATTTTCTTTGACTGCAGGGGACAAGACAAAGAATAACCATTTTAAAGTTGCAACAGGGGAAATTTAGGTTGCATATTAGGAAGAATTTTGATGGTGGTTAAGTATTGAAACAGATTCTAAAGAGACTGGATAATCTCCATACTTCGAAAACCAGGTTAGATAAACACTTAAGAAATGGCTTAGATAGGAGTAATCATGCATTGAGAAAGTGGTTGGTTGGATTAGATGAGCTCTTGAGATCCTTTCCAATCTTCCTTTTGTATGATTACCTGTGCTAGGTATGGGTGCAATTTTCCTTGCAGTATAGGCGTATGTCCAGGTAGAAGGCTTAAATGATATGCCTAAAACCACAGACGAAGTCCTCTCAAAGTCAAAATTGTAACGAAGGAGCTTCTAACTTCCGTTCTAGTTTACTTAAAAAGAAAGAAAAAACTCCTGCTATTCCAAAATTGGGTTCTCAAGCATGTCACTTGTGTCCAACTGTATGGTAGTTTTATGGTATGAAGCACTCCAGAAACTATCAATATTATTTCACTGTGACCATTTTGAGGATTTGGATCAGGGGCAACATTTAACTCTTTTATATGGACAGTTTAAATTATAACATTTGATCCATGTAGAATCACCCTTTACAAACAACATTTAAGCCACTGTTGACAAGATAGGGGAAAACAAATATTGGGGAAAACAAAGAGTGAGATTAAGTCTCCGCCTGGTCAAAGTGGCAACTAGTTTTGGGGGTGCCCAGCTATAACCACTTTAGGTCTAATCCCAGAGGTGGATAATTCTACAAGTAGAGCGACTCCCCACTTCAAGTAAATCTAGTGATGTACCATTTTAATAAAAAACAGTCATGTTAATATTTAATCTCCCTTGAAATGCAATTAATTCATGAATAATTGTTTTTTAGATGGGAGCAGGACCCTTAGCAGGAAATACCAGCCGACACAAATGACTTTGTTGAGTTTAAGCTTAAACCGCTTGATTAAATTTTAAAATTACAGAACTAGAATTGAAGCTTCAGTGGAACTGTCATCATCATGAGGTTGTTTGTTTAGAGCTCAGAGTAGCACTGACAGACGGCCATGGTCATTTTCCAGTTAGAAAAGTACATGCAGGCACTCCGATCTTGAACACAGCTATGCATACACTTAACTTTATGCAAGCAAGCAGTCAATGGGGTAAACATTTGAAGGACAGAAACCTAAATCTGATCTTGGTGACAATGCTGCCTCTTGTCTATACTGAAGCATCTTTATAGCATGAACAGGAAAGGAAGATACTGATATTTAAGGTTATACTGCTTTATGCAATAGCATAGATAAAAGCTGCTGATAGTGCCCTAGTTAGCTTCAAACTTATTTGCTCCAATAATGAATGCATTGTTAAATGTTAAGAGAAAGAGCCACTGGTTTTCTCTTGCAAAGAACTTGGCAGCTCATAAATAAAGCATGACAAAAACAAAGGAAGTAAAACTATGCCAGCCCCCAAAGCACCTTAAGGTTCATTTAGCTGTCAGAAGGATTTTCCCAGAAAAGAGAACAACTCACTCGCATAAAACAAGCAGCAGTGAAGCAATTTACACTTTCCTCATTCATTCTTGCCTATATAATCTTTCCACTGGGCTGTATTTTAATGTGTCACAAACCTTGAAAATGTCAACAATCATGTATCTGGTAGGTTCTGATTAGGTCAGTAACTTTGAATAAATATTTAGCAATTCTAACTTCACTAGTAGAGACTCAGGGTATGTAACAGATAATTAAATACTGGAATCAAAAAGATGTCGCATAGTATATCTCAAGGTGAAGGTCAGGGTGTCTAAGGGAGTTTGCTGTTGCTATACTAGGAAGCATTTATTCTGACAATAATGTTAAAAAATTATTTCTTGCCTTCCTCATAATATACCATATATATATATTTTGGAATATATACAGTACATCAGGCTTGTCAAAGATCCAGCACATGGAGCTGTTTCATGCAGCTGATGGGGCACCTGAAGGGGCCTCAAATTTGGGGTGGGGTGAATGGAGGTGGAGCCCTATTGGAGATGCATTTCAGCAGGGGGGTAAGCAAGCAATGGCTGCAGTAGCCCCTGCACTGCTCCTTGCCATGCCATTGGGGATGGATCTGGATCTAGGCTCTGTGGACCCTGAAGCATAGCAGTCAGCTATTTCTGACTAAACAAGATCTGCAACACTTCTATGGCTGTGTCTAGCAGAGAGGAAAACTGATAATACAACATTGATTTCTCCATTTATAGTTTTTTCAGCTATTAGTGCAAATTTTTCAAGAGACCATTTGCAGTAGGCGCACATGCCGTTGGCCTCTTATCGCTTGATACTATGAAGTGCTGGGCAGCTGCTAAGTGATCACAACTGCCACTGAGGCACAGGGATACAAAAGGGCATGCTGGACCTCACACTACTGAGTCCTTGAAGAAAGTGTGCAAAAAAAAAGATTTTAGATTTCAGTGTAGCTATTATTAATGGCCCTGTAGCAACCCAGTTCCCTACAGTAACAAATGGAAGTTTAGCTATAGGGAGGCATGCTCTGTCTTTGCTTTACACCATATAAACCACATTAGCTGCTGACTGCAGCGAAGGACAGAACTAAAAAAAAAAAAAAGCTTGGCTAACTCTATTCCAAGCCTTCTGTTCTGAACTTCAACAGGTTGGCAGTATGAGCAGTGGGTCTTAACTCATCAATAGCTCCTTTAGCTCCTTCTCCTTTTGGCTTGTCATTAAGCCTGAGGTCTGCCACATACTATATTTGTTTGTAACAAAACCCAAAAGGAAGACAAGTTTCACTTACCAATTTACTGCATGAAAAGAAAGGAGAAATAACCACCTTTTTTGCTTCTACCAAACGCAAAGTGGCATTTTTAGCAATGTAAGAGATTACGATCATGAAGAAATATGACTGAAGCATGCCAGAAATCTATTTTGACCCTCCATTCAAAGCTATTCATGGAGGCTACCCTTTTTATTCCCATACGATTTAATTCACATTGGGCACATCTACATGTGAATTAATGTGCCTTTTCTAATGTGCATTAAACTTAGTATCTCCAATGTGAGGTATTAAATTAATATACATTAGGCTGTACGAATGTACAGTTGCACATTTGCATGCTTTTTAGTGACACAAAGCACAGTAGACTATTTTATTGTGCATTAGTGTAATGCCACTGTTTTTTAAGTAACATTTTAATGCATGGTAAAATAGTCTACTGCATATTAAAGTGCACCTGTAGACATGCCCACTAAGACTCTGAATAGACATGAGTGTATACCTCTATCAATCCTTTGTAGGATTGGAGGCCCCAACCATTAAAATTCAGTTTGCAGAGACTGCTCAAAGGGAAAGCACAAGAGAGATATTATAAACATTATTTATATAAATGTGCAAGAGATGCATCACTAGAAAGCCTTACCGAGCAACCAAAAAGACTCTGTGAAAGACTTCTTTATGCTCATGAGGAGGTTTCTTTATTATTTTATGGGCAGAAATCTCTTTATGACTACTCATATTGTGTCAAATCCTGAATCATACAGTTTTGCAGGTATAGTTATAGTTTCCAGAAAGAAAACTACCATTTATATAATTTTTAAAAAAAATGATTACATCGTGTTATGAACCAGGCCAGCTGGCATGACAACAACCTGCTGATGTCACATGTACATATATGCTAACACCCTACTGGCTTCAGTTTTGTTAATCCATGGGCAGTGATCTGGAACTATTCTTTCCATACATTATGCTAGATAAATTCAACAAAAGTTGGATACACAAGCTTCTCACACAGCACAATAAGTATTTATGCACATCATATAAACAACCTAGTTATAAAAGTGCCCACTAAGTATAAAGGAGTTCCTACTTGAAGGTCCACATTAACTGAGGATTCCCCTGACAGTAAGAGAATACCTACGCCTTTGGCCTTCTACACTTAATTAGATATATAGTAAATAAGAGTCACAAAGCTGAATTCTCCTTGAGGGTGAAAGGCAATGAACAGTGGATGCTGCTGCCCTTTTGATTCAAGTGCTTAGCCAAAAGTGTGGGCCATTGTGGGTTGTACAAATTAGAGAAATTGGGAATGGAGTCAGGCATTACTTGGATGCAATCCCGTTGTATACATTCTTTGTAAAACAAAGTCCCACTTCTTGGGGGGTTGGGAGAAAGAAAGAGTTAACCCATAAGATTTCAAGGCCTCTTTCAACCAGCACTCAGCTCCAGAAGCACCCCTAGGATCTCTCAAGGTTGCACTTCCAGCCAGTCTCCAGGCTGTGCTTGTTTACTTTCTTGCAGTCACCCTCTGCTCTTTTTACTACTTTTCCTTGTAGACAAATCTTACAGAATAAGCCACCAGAAATTCCTCTGCCAACATGCTTCTTTGTTTAGGGTGGTGACATGTGCTTATCTCTGGGTAGAAGCTGCTATTGCTTTATGGAGGACCTAATGCTTTGTTAGAACTGCCTTAAAATGAAAAAAATAGTAGTTGCACCATCTTGTTTTAATTAAATATAACCCAATGCTTAACAGTGTAACCAAGCCTTTTTTTTTTTAAAGTTAAAACTGGCCTCAGGTTGTGTTGTCATTCTTTGTTTTGTTTCTTAGCTTTTAACCCTAGCCTCTTCTTAGCATAAGCACTGATCCCTTTCATCACCCTTCCAATGACAAGTTCACATGACCTCAAACAATTACATAATTTTTAAATGTTTACTCTTAATTTTTCATTTTTAGGAATTGCAGTTAGAAATTAATAATGCCCAGCTGAAACTTGGAAGGAAAGAGAGCCACACAGAGGTTTTAGAAGCAGAAAAATCAAGCTATACATAGATGTCTACAAACCCTGTCAGGTATTAAAGAATCATTTTGGGACCACCCTAAAAATAAAGTAAATCAGGAGATATAACTTATTTGCATAAATAAAAATTAAAAAAGGATAAAGTAGAACAGTTGTTTAAAAATAACCCATCACAGAAAAAGGTGTACACAAATACTGCACAAAAAGGTTCTTGTCATAACAATCTTGCAATCCAAATGCAGTAGATAATTTTTCTTGGTATTGACAAGGCAAAATTGTTTCTCACTACCTTGTTTTAATAACTAGTGCAATTGAACGGGTATTGGACATATCCTAACCACACAGATGCAACTTTCTGAAAACAATACTAATCCCTGTCTACAAAAACTAGCAGCTAAATTTGCATGCTTAAATAGATGACTTTATGGAGTTTTTAATTATTGTTGCAAACTGGTACTGAACATAGCTTTCTTATTCTAACTCCTATCAGTTAAGCTGTGTTCAACACTGGTTCAGTTCCCCACCATTGCCAACACCCGAGTACATTTTCCTAAAGCTGATAGCGTTCAGGAAAGCATGAAGGACAAGAAATAGGATCATAGGTGCTCAGTTTTGACATGTGCACACAAAGTTCTACACATATTTCATACCAGGCTGATAAAAGTCAAGTTACTATTTAAGGACTATACAAAAGAGGTTCTTAGGGAGAATTTGAAGGTAAGTGGTGGTTTGAGAGGTCATTCCAGAAAAGAATCAATTATTCATTCAAAATTTTTAAAAAAGCACTATATAATTTGAGCATTCTAGTAAAGATGTTTTCAGAACTCTGTGTAAAAGATACTGATTTTAACATATACAACTATGATCTGAATCCAGATGCAAATAACAGAGAAAAATTACTATTAATGGACGATGTTACAAAGCTTAAGAAAATGAGTGATATCTCCATTGAAGACACTGCACAGAAAAAAGAAGAACTGGAAAAAGTCCAGCAAGAACTACAGAAAACCATGAATTCTGTGAAAGAAAGAGAGCATCATGCCCATCTTTTAGAAAATGAAGTAAGTAATACTTCAATAGCTTTTTTCACAGAGTTTTATGCATCAGGCACATCAACCCTTAAAGATGAAAAATAGGAAAAATTTGTTAAACCATCTAACCTACTCCTTAGGATTGTCTTCTAGCCACCATAGTTGAAAAATGGCTTTTAGGAGACATTTTTTTCATCATATCCCTTTGGAAGAAGGCTTGCACTGTATTGATAGGATCTCTCAGGAAGTTTAACTAATATACTAAAATGTCAGTGGACCTTTAAGGACATCAATGAAAGTTCACAACTTTTGACAATCAGGAGATTAAGACCATCATGAGTCAGCATAGCACCTCAAATTCTGCTGGACAGTCCCTCCAGATAATAGACATGTGACCATCTAAGAAGAATGGTGGTATTTAAGTGCCTGTGTACTGAAGTCCTGCTGAACAAATCTACCTTTTGGCTCTCTGAATCTTGGACAACTATGACTGAGATCAGAGACTGAACTTTCTTAAATAGGTTATAAAAGTTAGGTGGAAGAATTTGAAAGTTTTGTTTTGGGTAACAGTTGCTTTGAAATCTTCCTGCCCCACAAAATAACTGATTACAGAGGTGAACTTGTACCAGCACCTAAACTAGAAAAAAAAGTGAAAAGGGAAGCTTCTGCCACAGACCTGGGCAAACTAAGAGTAAGGGACATGCTGGTAAAAACTAATTAGCCACTTAAATGATCAAACTCTGAATCAAGTTAGGGCTAACCCTCTGGCTAATTACAGACAGTCAAAAAGCCCAAGGATGAATTGATTCAATCTTTACAGGTTAGTCTAAGCTGCATTGGTTGAACTGATAAGCAACTGTACAGAAACCCACTTCTGATGCCTATAAATGCAGCCACATGCCTGTAGTGGCTCAAGCCAGAAGCCAGGGGTGCTAGAGCACACCTCTCTGCCTAGCTGGAGCAGACAGCTTGAGCCAAGGCTAGCCCACTACCCTCTGGTGGAGTTGCAAAGCATCCTGGGATGCTGGAGGACAAAGTTAACTTAAATCTGGAGGGGGATCTGTGACAGAAGTTCAATAAACCTATTTAACCTAAATCAGTTAAGTCTGATACTACATCCATCCAGGTTTATCACAAACTGGTTTCAGCCATTTTGAAAGTGATTTATATGCACTGAACTTCTGTTGTCTTACCAATTTGAACAAGTTTTCAATCACTATAGCAGTTTGTGTGTAATTTCTGTCCCTAACCTATGAGAACTTTAAATTGTACTCTTTTTCCTTGAATGTTAACATCCTACTCATGAGCAAGATTAACTTCAAGACTGTTATATTATGTGGTTTGCAAGCACAGGAAAGAAAACCTTTAAGTTTAGCTTTTGAGAGAACTCTACAGAAGATTCCATAGCTACAGAAAATGAATCCTGTTCATATGCCCACATATCAGATTCATCAAAATAGAAGCCACAAAATAGATTTTACTGTTTTCTGAAGAACATTTTTAACAAACAGATCCAATTTCAAAGTGTTTAAACAACCTAAAATTGCTAACGCATCTTAGGTAAACTCATGAGAAATCTTTCAAAATGTTGATGTTACTATAGAATTGGGAGAGTTCATGCCATACAGAACCCACTCCATTTCCAAATAAGTTATTCTAATAGGTAATTGCTTTCACTGTAAAAATAAATAGTGCAAGTAAATTGTTGGGCTCCAATTTCTTGTCTTAATTTAAGCTTATGTTTCTAGCCTTTGGATTTTTCTATACTTGTTCTGTTAGAGATCTCAGTTCTCAATGATCACACCTGTATTTCACTTGGAAGAAAATCCAAAACAGAACCAGATAATTATAGATAAATGGGAAGAGTGGCTTATCATGTATTACCAAATACTACAAGTAAAACTAGACCAGGATATCTGCAAAATGTTTTCGCAATAAAAAAAAACTTGGAACTTTTTGGTTATTTCCAGAGTTTATGAAACTTTGTATGAAACACTATCATGCCACACTTTGTTCACAAGCAGTATTATAACCAAGTAAAAGGACTGTAAGCCCACCTAATTTGTGGCTGTACTATACAAACTGCCTGTGAGCTTCATTATGCCATAGGTTAGCAGTCAGCAATGTTTCCAGGCTATGGGCTGGAACAACCTAGTTTGGGTCTGAGACTGATGTTCCAACCCGGCTTTTGCTTTTCCCTGCTCCCATTTCAACCTCCCCAACCCATCTGCCATTCCTTACTGCTTGACCCTGGCAAAGCTTCCTCTTGCTAAAGTCCGGTCCTTCCCAGACAAGATGTAGTGGCTCCACAGGCTATATACTGCCAAACCATTTATTTATTAATTGCTACATGTCGTTTAGCTTAACCATAAACACTGCCATATCTGTTTCCCTTCCCTGGCTTGCTGAATGGAAACGCTACTAAAAATATTACTTTTTATGGTTTAAGAAAATCCATATCTGCACAATTCCTCACAGTAACCATTATCGTGGCTTTTCTATTGCACATGTGCTTCAGGTAAGCTTAGCAGTAGTGCTCAACTTACCTGGGGTCCCACACATCGTGCATGACTGCAGAGCAACCCTGTGCACCCCAGGTCTGGCTGCAGGTACTCAGGGTCATCTGGCCTGTAACCACTGACATTGCTCCCCCACTGCCAACATTTCTGGACCTGTGGGGAGACCCATGACGCAGATGACGTGGCCTTGTGTGTCAGATCTGGTCCGCAGGTCAGAGGTTAAGCACCGCTGTTTTAGCGGCTAGCAAATAAAAGTTTGAACAATGTCTTTAAAAAGATTTCTGAAGAGAAGAATTGTGAACTGGAAATGCAAAATGCCCTGGTTCCAATCCAGACTCCGTTAGGTTTACATTTGGCAACACTGCTACCAAAAAAACAAAACAAAAACAACCCCCCCACTTAAAGCCACAGCATTCGTTCGTTCTGTACTTTGTTATGTGTATATATGCATAAATGAATGTGTAAGGGGAATTAATACGATACTTTTTCTTTGCCAACAAAGTAATCAGAATATTCGTGTCATGACTGTTGTCTGATTTTTTTTAGTAGAGTCTGGTCTGCTGTAAATATTCAGAACATGGGTGCCAACTTAGTAGGGGCCCAAGAGTCCTGCCCCCTGCCCCCTTCCCCCCTTAGGAAGAAGGCTGTCACCTGAAATGTGTAAGACTTTCCATATTTCCATCATCTTAGGCCCCTCCCAGCAAAAATAAAAGTCAGCGCCTATGGTTCAGAGCTATTGAGTTCTGAAAAGATCTACCCATGTACTGCTTACACCAAAGTAAATTTGACCCAGGTGTCTAAAGTTCTGCCTCTAGTTCTCCCTAGAAAGGGGTATTCATCATTAGGAGTTCAAAAAGTTGGTAGCTCAAAACCAAAGCACAGCTGAACAGTATATTGCTTCTGAACGTGATGCACAATTCAGACTTATTCCTTTAGGCAATACATTACAATAACAAACATTACATCTTAAATAAGTGTGTAATTGTACTCCAACACACCATATTGTATGTCTGATACTGAAGAGTATTGAGAAATGTGCTTTTGATATGAAAAATATTATCATTTCCAGAGCAAAGTAGATAACCACTTAGTTTTACAGAAAGTAGTAGGTCAGGTTTAGTTCAGTCAGATTTGAGGCCTCACAATACTCTGAGTTGGGCACTGCTAGCCTCAGCAGCACACTCATCACTGACCACTTAATCATCGTCATCAGAAAAAAATAAATCAAAGTGCAGGGCCAAGTACAGATATTATCGATTGTTCCGCAACCTTTCTGCAGACCACCTGAATGGAGGCTGTGGACCAGTTTGAGAACCTCTGCACTAGGGTGTGTGTCAAGATTTTGTGCATGGGGCTTGTGGGATGGAGGGTGGGATTTCCAAAATGGCTGCAGAATTTAAACATCCAATTCCAATCATTTGTCAATGGGATTTTGGAGCCCATTTCTTCCATGTCTCTCAAAGTCCCAGGTGATGGCTTTCTGCAGAATAGAGGAAAAAGGAATTCTAAGTGTTCTTTCAAAGTCGGCAGACTGTTCAGCTTCAGAGTTTTCAGCCAGCCTGCAACAGATAAGTAGATAAAAGTAGCACCACAACTCATCCTTGAAAAGTTTAGCCCTTCCCAAGAAGAGGGTCCAACCTCAAGGGCAAAAAATCAGGCATCTTAAGAAAACTTTCAAGCAAGGAAAAATACTTTTATACCTTTGACTACTTGTCAGAGTGAAATCAAAGTCCTGTAATCAAGCCTCAAAATAGTCTATGAAGAAAAAGTAGTAAGTCTTTTTTCCATTTTAGAAAGGGAAATATTCTGTGAAAAAAACCCCAAACCAAAACAAAAAACTTTAAGACAGTGGTTCTTGGCCTCTTCCATATCAACCTTTCATGCTACAAAAGAAAAGCATTGCAACTAACCATCAGGAAAAAAAAAGAGGGTGACAGTGACTTCATTTATACAAGTCCTTGATCAGTTGGGCCTTGACAAATCCTACTTTGGAGCACTTGGTATGTCCTCTCAGAACTACTGCTTATGCTTCCAGGCAGGATTTTGAAAAAAACCAGAATGTAGATGTGCACTGGGTCTTTAATCTCTGTGTCTAATTTTTAGCTTCATCAGAAGATTCAGCAACATGAGGATATGGAAGCAAAACTTGCAGAAAGTAGATCTGAATGTGTAAGACTTCAGGCATTGCTCCACCAGCTGGAAGAGAATCATCTTTCTAGTTCTCAGTCTGTGCAGCAACATATTGCTAAAGAACTTTGGTAGGAACATCTGAAATTACAAATCAGTGCTTGTGAACAACTTTTCAGTAGCTTATTTTGAGGTCCTGCACACCCTCAACTCTTACTGAGAATCAGGGCCTTTGTTTGGCTGATGCAAGCAGAACAGATGTGATACACAGGATCTTATCCCCAAACAAACATGTCCTCTGTTTCTTCTACAGTTATCTATTGACCACATTGGAAAGTTGTCCTCTGTTTATCCAGGCATAGCATTGACAAGAAGTATAAGCTTCCCCACACTGAATCCATAGGATTGAGAGGATAGTTCAGTTTTACCTATTCTCTTTCTGGGATTGCAAATGTCAATTGTTTGGGCAATATGGACACCTACAACATATTTAATTTAAGTGGGACAGAGACTCTCTTCCTTGGCTAGTATTAAAAGTTTTTCAACCTATGTTATGCATACCCCTGGGGTATGGGCGACTGGCAGGAAGGTTTGCAGGTACCCCAACACTCTCTCACCCTCTTTTCCTCTCAAAAGTATGGCAAAAAAATTTGGTGTGCCGCACATTATGCAGCGCTTTAAAGTCCTCAGTAAATATTTGATAGGCTGTGCTTTGCGCAGCACTGGGTTCAGCCTGCCTAGCTTTGGCCAACACCACTTTTAGCCCAGGTACATACTTGAGTTGTTTACTCCAGTGTAAAAAGGTGGCAAGCCTATCTACACCAGGTCAGACATCCATCATATCAGCCTTATATACACAGCCCTTCTTCCAACATATGGCACACATTGATCTGTAAACATAAAATCCCCTGGAAAATTGAGTGTTGGGGTACTTATTAAATTTTTTGGAAATTAGGGGGTACTTGCTACTTAAAAGGTTGAGAAACACTGTCTAAAAAAGAGCAATTTTTTTTTACCATTTGGAAAATAACTAACTGTTCAAGGGCCAGTTTGCAGGAGAGACGGATCTCTTTCAGCACCTGAGGAAGATAGAGAAGTCTCCATCAGGAGGAAAGATTATTTTTGAGATGTGAAGTGGACCTACCGCTTCTGAGAATGTAAGCAAAAGACACAGCAGGTCAGGAATCAGCATAGAAGTTAAAAGCAAACTAGTTGTTTTACTAGCATTAGTAAACAAAAGAAACCCACCAAAAAGCTGACCAAACAGTTACTAATTTAATATTAGAAAGGTTTAGTCCTACAAGCAGGAATTTAACTATAATTCGCACAGAAAATGAAGATCTGGCAGTCTAGATCAAACTTTGGCAGTTTTACTATGCTCCATAAGTTGCAATAAATTTAATGTATAATTGACTCCTATAAGCATTTCACTAGGAACACAGCTTTCAGACTATAATTTAAATTTATTTTTATTTAAGTGAGGAAGCCCAAAAACTAAGAGAGGCTCAAAGAAAAAGAACTTTCTGCTGATGAGAACAAATATTTACACAACAAAATGGCAGAAGATTGTGGACATCTGACAAAAGAAAATGGTCTTCTACAATTTCAAGTGCTAGAAGCTAGTAAGCACCTAGACAGGGTACGTTTCCATTGGTTTTAAATAAGGTCGTTCAGAAAGGGGGGAGAAGGGGTTGACTAGCCCCGAATAGATAGGAATTATTTTTAAAACTTGTTGGACAAATTTACACATTAGTTCCACTAGGAGTAGGTATTAGTGAACAGATAAACTTTCATATTAGACTGTAAATGACTTGTGCTGCCTTGAAAGTGCAAAAATGTTTAGGTACAATAAAAAGTTTGCCATTTTTGCTTTAAAATGTTAAGATAAACAAAAATGTACTTTTTCCACGGCTGCCCTGTGCTAACTTATTAGTGGTTCATTTAAATAAAAAAGAAACATCCCAACATACCAATTCAACAACACTAGATTTGCATTTTACTGATTAAGTGGAAGAACAGTAAACTGATGAGTATAAGAAAGGTTGCAGTTTATGTACACAAACCAACATCAGGTCAGAAATATGTCCAGTGATCTCACTTCTTGATCAGCAGTGGCAGAAGTTGGCTCCAGATAAAGCAGACTGTGATTTTGAGCGATGACTCCTCTACCAAATTTGAAGCTTCATGGGATAATTACCTTTTAGGTAGTATTTTTATTTTTGAGGGGGAATAAAGCAACAACAGAGGAAAGTAGAAGGAGAGAGAAAATTCTCAAGAGTGGTAAGCCACAATATGTACAGGTAACTGGTCTAAACAAGTGCTACAATCCTTAAAAGCTTCTTTTTGACCAATGGGTTGAACACCCCTCCTCCTTCCATGATGCCTGATACTGAAGGGTATTAAAAGGAAAGTTTTTAATCCCATAAGAGCTTTAGAGATTGTTTGGCTAGGTTTATAAAAATGTTTGCAACTTGGGCCTAGGTTTAGTGTCATCTGGAATTACCCCATTCCTGGTTCGAAATAGTTGCTGGACTGCTGATGTTTTTCCCCAAAACAATACATTCACTGTACTATATAGCCTCCAACTGGGGATGAAGGGTCCTCTCAAGACTGCTTTGAGGTAGAGGTGCCCCTCACTATTAACAAGGTGTCACTATAACCATCTTCAACACAAGAGGTCAAATCACTTAGTAGTGGCCTTCCCTGCACATGAAAAATTTCCACGCAATTTTAAAGCCTCATCCTCTACAAAAATGGATTTTATGAACACAAGTTTTAACTTCTGCACAAGTTAAACTCAGTATAAAAGTACTGCATATGCAATTTGCTACAGGAGAGGCAGCTGAGAGAAGAGGAAAGCACCTGCAATTCAAGGCAGATCTCTAAGCTAGTTTCTAGAAAGGAGAAAGAAAGGCAACTTGAGCTTAAGCTCACATATCTGAAGGAGCTACTGCAAGACGAAAGAAAGAAGGCCCTTCTCATACGAGAACAGGTACTGCATATTTTGTTTTGACCTTTTCAAACCAACTACAAAAATACTTTTCTTCCCCTGGGACCTGAGTACTAAAGCTAAAGTGAAAGAGACCCATTTCCTCCATAATTAATTAAAATTAAAATAGTAATTTGAGATCTAAGCCCAAGAGCACTTTAACACACATACACACCTCAAGATATGCAAACAACAGGTTGCAGGTTTAGGGTTACATTGTGTTAAAACAGCTCTTGTATAATGTTAGCAGGGATAGCACAGTTGTATAAGCTCCGGCTTGAAATATCAAGACGCCCTAGCACAAAAGTTCAAATTCCAACAAGGCTGACTCAGTCTTTCCGCCTTCCAAAGTACATAAATCCAATTCCAGGCAGTTTTACTGCAGGAGGAATTCTTAAAAGCAACGGTCCTCTCTGCTGAGTGTGGATGCTAAGGATCTCATTTCTAATAATGTTTCAAGTTCTTTTCCTGCCACTTATTGTTGCGAGGCAACCAACTGCTAACCTCAATGTTGGAACAGCATTTCAGTTGTCGTTTTCATATGAACATTATACATACGTTTTGTAGAGTTCTTGTACCCAAAACATTTTACAAGCAACAGAAATGCAAAACATTTGCTCTGTAATTATAGTACAAGAAATGAGTGCAGCTGTACTCCGAAATACTAGGAATTTTTTTTGTTAAATAAAAGTGTATGTGCTTTTAAAAATAGAGGCAGATGCTCAAAGTACTGTATTCAATCCAAAAATTCCATTAAAATCTTTGATGCTATGCCAGTCAGTTATTCACAGAGCTCAAACTAGTTAGTGAATGATTTCAGCATTCAGAAGCATTTACCCAATTTACTAAAAAGCTAGAGTCTGAAAATGACATGTCCAGCAATTGCATGGAAACACAAGAAAGGACAGCAAATCAAATATATAAAAAGCAGTTTATGGTCAAATATTTACAGGTCTTTTTATTATTTAAATATTGTATTTATATGCTGATATTTAAGCCTTGCAACTATATGCTTAGTTTGAGTGTTATGGCCTTGATTTTCATAACCGTGCATGCAAAAGTCTTCATGTAGTTTAGTTATTGCAACTTTAATCAAAGTCAAAATTTTCTATTTATACAAGCATCCCAATTTGCATATATAATCCTGTTACGGTAAAAATTATTTGTACAATTTAAAGAGGCAGCCTGTCTCTCAAAACATTTCAATTGCTGGTGTAAGAGTCTAAAGTGGAATTCTTTTATAGAAGGGAAAAAATACTATTCACACACACGTACAAAAAGATGCCGAGAAGCCTGATCAGACTGTATTGAACTGCTTGAATTTTCAGGAAGTTCCTTAATAAGGATTGTAATGAGGCTAGCCTGAGGCAATAGAGATGTCAGTCTCACAGAGTACTGTCTGTAATAACTGTAAGTTAATGGGCAGTACAAGATCACATTCTTGGTCCCTACCAGAAGATCGCTTGTTTGTTGAGCAGAGACAATGTGGCAGGAATGGACAAAAGGGAAGAATAGAAAATTATTGCCTCATGACATAAGACAGGGGTGTCAAAGATGCAGTTGGCGAGTTGGCTGTAGAGCCCCATTTGGCCCCGTGCTGCCTATGAATTGAGTGGACCCACAGGTAGCAGGTGAGGTGCACTGAATGGCCCCCATGCGCTGCATGTGGTGCCTGTTCCAGCGTGCATCTGCTGTGCTGGATTCAGTATATGTCCTGGAGCAGCCAGAGCAAGCACCACGTACAGTGCAGCTCTTGAGAGGATGCTGCATGTAATGCAGACTTGGACCAGCTGCTCTGGGGCACGTGCCC